TTCTTAGTGGTACGAAAGGGGGCATTGCAAGTTGGGCATTTGTTGAACTGTAATCTGTACTTTGCTGGGGAGCAAATCCTTTGCCATATCTTTGCAAGTGATTTTTGTATAATTTAGTCATTAGTGGGCTGTTTCTCATCCACTTTCCTTACAAATCCCACCCCGTAGTTGCTTCTTTCATCACCAAGCATCTATATGCTAATCATGGCAAACTTTATTAACATTATTGCACTCAGGTCATGTTGCTGGTCACAGATCTAATGGTTTACTTATGTGTAAAGATTATCTTTTGAACCCATGATTGTTATTACTTGTTTGGTTGTTTAGAATGTTGATTTTGTTCTTCTAGGGCAATTTCTATTATCCTCTAGCATGTGAACGAAATCCATCGAGTTGAAACTATACATAAACAACAGTATAATTACGTGAACATGCGTAGTCCAATTTGTAAGTTTTGCAAGTTTATATATATATATATATATATTTACATGCAACCCCACCATAGATTAATAAAACCCTAGGTTTGTAAGATATTTGTTCATCATGAATTAGTGCATTGCCAGACAATATCTAACTGAGTGATCGAAATATATGACATTGTTTACATGTTATTAAAAATAAAAATCCAACTCTATAGTGTTGACTTGAATAAAAATGACTCTAGTTATTTAATTAAATAATTTTGAGTTCGAATTTTTATATATGTAAAAAATCTCTTAACAATAAAAGATTAGTTTGAATTTTTTAACTAATAATAATGAGAATGTAATAAAAAAGGATTATCCCTTTGTTGTATAATACAAAACTCGTCGGATTTTTTAATAATAATAATAATAAATCTAATCAATACGAAAAGATAAGGTAATTTTGCTATTGACACATCAATATTTAATTAACTATGTCTTATAAAACAACAAACCTAATTGCCTTCAAAAATGTTCATTCACGTGAGAAAGTGACTTAAAAATTTGAGATTACATGTCAAAACATTGAACTTCCTTCGTGGTCCTAAAATCTTGTAGTTGTAGGGTTGGTTCCATGTCAATTCTGTTTACTATAATTTGGTCCCTTGGCCCCATTAATATTATATACCCAAAATAAAAAAAATGACCAAAAAATGGAGTAAATTATAAATCAATCCCTTTAGTTTTGAAAAATAAATTAATTAATCCTCTATATTTCAAACTATTTAGTCTTTTTTGTTTATTTTATATTCTTTTTTAATTTAAAAAATAAAAAATAGATAATATAGAAAAATGATGAGAAAATAAGTTATTTTTAAAAATAAAATAATATCAAATTAAGTTTGATAAATACTGATCAAAAGATCAAATAAGTAATTTTTTAAAAAATAATTAAGTTATTCATTTCTTAAAACTAGAGGGATTAATTTATAATTTACTCAAAAAATTGGAGCCTTCTATTTTAAAATAGAAATGTTGGACATGCAAGAAATTGCTCACCGTATCTTCACGCCATCTCCATTGTCCACCTATGCTTTAATAGGCGTTGAAACTCTCTACCACGTGTGTTGCCAATAAAATACTCAACCATCAACCGCTGACCACAGCAGCAATTATTATTACTTTAAGCCTTGGGTCAACCACCATTGAAGAGTTTCATCCGTTGGATCCAACAAAGACCCATCCAACGAATAGAAATGATTACCTGCTACACCACGTTGAGAAAAAAGAAAATTTGGTCAGCACACTCACCTTTTATTTTCTTTCCCTTAAAAATAAAGTCAAAAACCTTGTTAAACTAGGTTCTCCGTCCACCATTAAATTAATCTATTTGCCTTATACCCCTTTTGTTTGTTGTTTATTTTGCCTCTGTCTCCAACAAAAAGGAAAACTATACTCTCCGAATAAATAAGCACAAGTGAAGTTCAGTGTTAGTAGTTAATTAGAGAGTAAATTATAATTTAATCCTTATATTTTAAGAAATTAATAGGTTAGTCTTTGATTCAAAAGAACTCATATTTATCCATATATTTTCATATTTATTTGTAACTTAAGCTTCGTTTGGTGGTGAAGTTGAAGATGTTTTTATCCAAATACAGCTACTTGAGCTATTCGCTAGCAACAATAATTTTGTGAGATTTGCATAGATTTGTAAAGAAAATACAAAGTTTTAAAGAAGCATCAAGACAAGTTTGTGTATTGCCATTAAAAATCCTCTTATATTCTTTTTTATTTATTTATCCATAATGTGTTAAGTTATCATGTTATTTGCTTAGGTATTAATTGGAGAACTAGCAAGTCAATTAATGATCCTAAAAGATTGGTCAATATTAAATTATGAACACTCATGTGGATGTGATTTTCAGTTAATACACTACACAGAGTTAACACGATAATGCATTGTGTATGATGTATAGGTCTATTAAGATTTTTAATAAACCTAATTGTCCATACTATAAATATAGCTATCGTCTCTTATATTTATTATTGCTGATTGGAAAACCTAATTAGAACTCTTAATGCAGCCACATAATAGACACACTTGCCAAACCATATAAACTTTGTGTTGTTGTTTTCTTTTTTATATTTTTGCCTAATTCGTTTTCTAACAATCAAATGGTCAATAAGATTTAATCAGTTCATTAGCTTTCTAAGTTCAAATATTGGAATCGATATTTAAAAAAACTCTCTAAATGCACCAGATTGACATAAGAGGTGCTTTCCAGTGAAAACTTAGTATTTATTGATGTGCGAAAGGATACTTTTTACTGTCAAATAGAAAAAACAGATTGGTTAATAAGTCGATGATAAAAGCTAGTAGTGGATTAATATATGATTTTTTGAAACTGAAAGGACTAACTTCCAGTTTCTTGAAAACTACAAGGACTGAGTAAGAGTTTAGTCTAATTAGTGCATATTTTCATATTATTTTCTGAATTTGAGAAGTGCTGGTAGATCCAACAGAGGAGAACAAGACGGTGGATTGCAACGTGTACATAAGTAAGGGAACAGGGAGAAAACAAACGAGCATAGGAAACTTCTCAACTGATAAGCTGATTCCAAGACAAGAAAGGAGCACATTCCTTGTTGCAAGGTTGAGGAACCTCTTTAAATGCAACATAAATTATCATATAATACATCTTTGTCCAAGTATTATTAGGTTGTAACCGTTTGACTTTTATTACAAACTTCTATGCCTTAATGGTTTAGACTTTATTTGTACATAATTTAATAAATTAAGTCTTCATATATATATATATATATATATATCATCATCATCAATTTATAAGGTAATTAAAACTGAATTCTTTTTTCAAAATTTTTTTTTTCTATCACTCATGATTTTTGCTTCTCTAATAAAACTAAAACTAGTTTTAGCTTATAAAATGGTAAAAAAAAAAATACAAGGGGAAGTTTTTATAATGCATGATTTTGAAATTTTCACAATTTTTACTTTAAAGAAATTAGGTTACAGCTAAGTCAACTTTCCATTTATGCATATTTGAAAATGTCAAAATAAAACAAACAAGTCATTAATTATTCCAATGAACAAGAAAAAAAATGTTATGACCAAGCTTACTGAATTTAATTGGTAATTTTTTTTAAAAAAAATTTAACTTTATTTAAACCGACCCTTGTCAACGAGTTATTAGTCCAATCGCAAGTGAATTAGTTTTCGGATGAATTTTTTACTAATGTATACTAGATCGCATTTGTCGAAAGAGGTTAAACATTATTTTTTATGTTTCGAATAAAAATAGTCATTTTTTCTATATGTGATGGAAATGCCCGAGAAAAACTAAATAAGTAAATAAACTATTAAAATTTAACTTTATTTAAACTAAACTAAGTCATACTTCAAATAGATGGATATGTAATCAAATTCTATAATTTAAGATCCAAACCAACTAAAAAGCACAAAAGTAGCTAAAAAAAATATCTTAAAAAAATAATAAATATACACATTTGTCCTCATTTAATATTAAAATCTTATATATTTCTTTATATTTTTAATTATATCGTATTCATCCTTTTAAAAATATTTAAAAATTTCAATTTATCATTCTTATTTTTTAAAAAACCAAATAATTTTTTCGAACAAAATACATCCGATTGAAATGTAAACAAAAAAAAATCAAAAATAAAAAAAAATAGGTCATGTAACTTTAAGTTTTTTTTTCTGCATTTTAGTAAAGTGTATCTCGATTAAAAAAATGATAATTAAAAAATTTGATCAAAATAACAGATTAAATATTTCAAAAAAATTTTAAAATAGATGGGATGAAAAAAAAAACAATAAAACTTTCTTTTCAATTCAATTGGTAATCATCATAACAATATAAATAGGAATGATTTATTATACATTGATTTCGAAGATGTTATAGTAATCACCAAAATCCAATTTTGTCAAACCCCAAATCAAAGACCAAACTAGAAGACTTGGTATTTCTCATTTGTAAGTTGTGGTCAACACAAATTACATGAATTCATAAGCTTTGCCCCGTATAAGACTGCTTGCTTGCTTTCTTTCAAAGACGTTCTAGTAATCACCAAAACTCAACCTTTGTCAAAGCAATTAAAAAAAAAAAAGACCAAATAAAAAACAATCAACTTGCTCAATTTCTTAGAACTCTGTGCTCTCTCATGCATGCATAGTCTGTCACCCACTATGACCATTGACTACCCTCCAAAATCTAGAAAAATTCAAAAGCCATCTCCTCCACCACAATCACCAACATCAAAGTACTCAATTTCCCTAACCTTTCTTTTCTTTTTATTACACTTCTGGGTCCCACCACTTCCCACTTTCTCTTAGACTTTTCTTACAAGTTCTCTCTCTCTCCTGCAAAAAGTCTAACCAATCTCCACCCTTAGATTGACATTTCCATGTTGACTTCGCACCCACCATTTCTTTTATAAACTCCCTCTCTCTCCCTTCTTCTCTTGCTCCTCTCAAAACACAACAACCCACCCCTTCTTCTCCGCCTCTCTTAGCTTCAAGGGTTTTGTTTTGTTTTGTTTTTCTTCTTCTTCATCATGGCTGTGGATCTAGTTGGGTACTCCAAGATGGAGGATCAGATGGCTATGCAAGAAGCTGCATCAGCTGGGCTAAAGAGCATGGAGCACTTGATCTTTGCACTTTCTAACCAACCCCAGCAAAGTCACCAACTTGACTGCAGAGAAATCACTAACTTCACCGTCGCTAAGTTCAAGCAAGTCATCTCCATCTTGAACCGGACCGGTCATGCCCGTTTTCGCCGCGGGCCCACTTCTTCTCCTTCTTTCAACCCGGTTCCCATCCGGCCTGTCGTTCAAGAACCTCAACAGCTAAATCTTGATTTTGTTAAAAGTAATAATCTCACCAAAGCTGAGTCGAAAACCGAGTTGTCGTTGGGTAGTCATTATTCCAAGGATTGCTTTAGCTCTGGTACTACTACGTCCTCCTTCTTGTCGTCTGTTACTGTTGATGGGAGTGTATCTAATGGGAATCAAGGTGGGTCTTCTTCTCTTTTCGGAACTCAAGCTCGATCTACCGGAAAACCTCCTCTCTCATCCACCCACCGCAAGAAATGCCATGATCATGCCCTCTCCGCCGGCAAAATCTCCTCCTCTAGTGGCAGATGCCATTGCTCCAAAAGAAGGTGACAATTTTATATAAATGAATTATTATTTTTTATTGTAAATTCAGAATTATTACCGGATCAGCTTTTTTCAAACTAAGCTTATTGTCGAGTAAATTATTAGCAGTTTTCTTGTAATTTTTTTAAGGCTGGGATTTGAATATTTTCTAATCATTTTATATTTTTATTTTTGTGATTATAGGAAATCAAGGTTGAAGAGGACAGTAAGAGTTCCGGCTATAAGTTCCAAAATTGCCGATATTCCACCAGATGAGTACTCATGGAGAAAATATGGTCAAAAGCCAATCAAGGGCTCACCATACCCGAGGTATTATTTTATTCTATGCCTTAATCATCCACCGTTAATCATGCTTGATTTTGGTCAAAGTTGAAATTTTTTTGACTTACGGGTCTATGATGGGTGAAATAATAGTAATTTTTATTGTCTTCTTTTGCAGAGGGTACTACAAGTGTAGTAGTGTGAGAGGATGTCCAGCAAGGAAGCACGTGGAGCGTGCCGTAGACGATCCGGCCATGCTGATTGTTACTTACGAAGGGGAGCACCGCCACTCACATACTCCGTTACCAGACACTGTCACAGCCAGTGCTGCAATGCGACACGTGTTGAAGTCAGCATGAGAAAGCGGGCAAGTCAATGATGATGCTGGATACGTGGTGGATGATGATCCGTCTTAGACGGTAACGATAGAGCCACGGCTCTCGGATCTGTAACAGCCAAGTGACGGTATCTTTGAGAAGAGTCAAAGATGAAGAAAGGGTCTAAGGGATGGACTTGTGTAGAAAAAAAAAGGAAATTGAAAGAAGAAAATGATGGGCCCACTTGCAAGTGGCTTGGGAATTTCAAATTTTGTGTAAAAAACGAAACTTTGTAGAATAGAAATTAAAAATTAAAAAAGCAATTATGAAAGATTGTTGGCAGCATTATTTATTTTTATTTTTTTCTTTTATCTCTAAAACAATTTAAAAATATGAAAATATATTGGTATCATTAATTAATTTGTTTTCTTTATAGATTTGAGATTGGATTCTTAGATGGGAAATCTTGGCAAATGAAGTCAAAAGATGTGGGTGGGGTTAGAATAATTTGCAAGTGTCATTTAGGGAGCAAAAGGTCAAAGGAAATCACAGGCATTGGGGCCATTGGGGGCCATGACAGCCATGTGAAATTGGTGCTGTTGGTTGACTAAATCAGATATGCTTTGCTGTTTCTTGTTTTTTTATGAAGAAAGAGAATTCAATTATTCTCCATTCATTGGATGCCTTGGCTTTTGAATGGTAGGGGTCATATTTTAGGGATAAATGAATGAACAAGGAGGTAAAGTTGAAGGAAAGGTGGAACCTAAAAAAAGAAAAAGCAGGGGAAAGTTGACTATCTAAAACAGATGTTTAGATAGATGCCTTGTGATGCCATGAAGAAAGTGTGAATTTCATTTTGGTTTAATGGAGATTTGACCATTTTGAACGCTTTGAATGGGTCAAGAAAAACAAATGAAGGGCAAGAAAATGGCACTTCTATTTTTTGAGGGGATTAGACTAGATATTCAATATCAAAAAACGAACCATATGAGTGTTTTAATATTCATTAATATGATGAGGATAAAGGAAATTACCAATTTAGTCATGTGGTAAGTCAACAGATTTCAAAATAAATTTTTTACTGATATATAAAGTTTGAAGAATTAAATTTTATCGTCTTTGTTGTAATTATGATTAAATTTATTTTTAATATTGAATGAGAATGCATGGAGAAAACAAAAAATAAAAAGAATGAAATTTATGGCAGTGAAAAATAAAATTCTCATATATTTTTTTATTTTACACAAAATTGATGTGAAGATAGCATGACCGTATAACCAAAAAACATCAAGCATTTATTGTGGGGGATGAGTTGGAAAACATGTGATTGTGAGCGAGAGAGAGTAGAAATATCAGGCAACTTCGATTTGTGGCATGCAGAACCCATGCCAATTGTCATGCCTATAAGTTATGATTATAAATTAGTCCCTGTAGTTTCTAAAAACAAATTAGTTAATCCTTTGCTTCAAACATGAATTATTTAGTCCTTATATTTTTATAAAATTTCATGCGACTTACTCATTTTCTCCCTTTTCAAATTTATTTTGATTTTTTTATTTTAAGAAATTAAAAAATAAGTAAAAAAATATGAAAGCATTGATGAAAAGGGATGACAATTTATAAAATAAAATAATATTAAATTAAATATGGTTAACGTTAGTTAAGACATATTTGATGGTACAATTTTACACACCAATGTGCTCATAGTAAAATGGTACAATTTTCACCTATATTAAAATAATATTTTAATAATAAACATTAGCGAAGAGGCCGTATTAATAATTTTCAAAAAATAAATGGCTAGAATGACAAATTTGATGGTGAATTTAGTAACACCCTTATTGGCATGGGTATTTTAATGTTCATTAATTTGAGGAAGCTACCCTTAGGGTTAAGAGAAGAAGAAAATTCCCCGAATTAGATTGTAAAAAATAATATTTTCATAAATCTAATATGAATATCTTGTTTTTGATCACACGAACGATGAATGATTTTTTTTTTTTTGGCACAAAAAATAGATGTGAAATAGAGATTCAGATTCTTTCATGTTGTTCATAAAACATGACCCTCACTTTCTTAAAATCAAAACCGTTAATTTAAATTGGACGAATATGATTTAATGCATGATAAAAATATTAACAATTTAACTCGTTATTGCTTTGTTTTTCTCATCTAATCCAGATCATTAAATTAAAAATTAACGATTAAATTTAGAATATGAGAGGATCTAAATCAGTAAAAATAACTCGATCATATAATCCAAAAACGAAAAATAAAAATTGATGCATTGATTATGGAGATGAGTTGAAAAATGGCAATAAAAACTTGTGGTTGTAAGCAAAAGAGAGCGAAAATCAAGCAACTTTGATTTTTTGCATGAACAATACCCTAATTGTTATGCCTATAAGTTGTTGATTGATTTCTTTGATTTGTTAGGTTAGGTTAATGGAGCTTTGCATGATACGACTTATGAGACTTGAGTGGACTTCAATGATATGACCAATTAAGCAAACAGAATTGAAGGCTCACCAGTCACCAAAATAAAAATTTGTTTAGCATTTGCTTCGACAAGTACCCAAAAATCTTGGCTTTAGTGTCAAGCAAAAATAAGTGTGCTGTTGCTATAACTGATAAATGAGTTTCTTGCACGGATCAAACATCAAGTTCTCCATTAATTATGTCGGAAAAAGAGAAAATTATAAATTAGTCCTCTAGTTTTGAAAAATAAAAAAAATAATCATCTCTGTTTTAAAAACAAATTATTTGTATTTTTTTCTATTTTAAATTATTTTCTAATTTTTTAAATTTTCACAAAAAAGGAAAAAAATAAATCCATATTATTGAAAGATTAATAAAAAAAGATATTTTTAAAATAAAATAATATTAAATCAAGTATAATCAATACTCGGTTAAGAGACTAAATAATTAATTTTTAAAATAAAATAAATTTTTTTTTTTAAACTAGAGGGATTGGTTTAGAAATTACTAGTCTAAAAAAAGGTAAAATACGAAAAATTATCATATAGTTAGATACGAAACACTCTGCATCCCTATTTTTCTAAAATTATACTTTACACCTTATAATTTTAATATTTATTTCAGAAAATATAATGTATTATAATTCTGTATATATTGTCAAAATTCCGAATAAAAAAACATCTAAATTATTACAAGTTTACCGTTATCTTTTTTAATGGTCATAATGTCCTTTAAAAGCATTTCATATAAAAAAAAAAAAAAAAAACCATGTATTTTAATTTCACCTTCAGGTACAATATTACATTATCATAATTAAATATTAGTTTTATCAAAACTAACAAAAAGAATTTATAGAACTCAACGACTAAACAATAGAACATGAAACATAACTATTAGAAATACTAAAGCCCTTTGTATTTTTGTTATGTGCTTCAAATAAGAAGAAAAGAGAATATTTGATAGGCTACATAGGCTCATAAGATTTCAAAAAGATGCCGTAGTAAGGTCAACAGAAATTCAGCAACTGCTCTTTTCTATACCAAAACTTTCTAAGCAATTAGTAAACTACACAGATTATCTACAAATTCTCCAACTCCAACACTTTCCAAGCAACTTACCATTTGACACTGCTAAAGACTAATCCGTCTCAGAAAAAAAAAAAAGTATGATATAACTACAAAGCATTATGCAGGTAATTCATCATTTTGAAGAACATTAAGTTTGTGCTCCTAAAGTGTGCGTGTTGGACTGATCACTTTAGAAAACCCCAAAATTTGTATCTCAAATCATGACGAAAATGCAGAACTTTCAACATCAGAAGTAGAACATGTCAGCTATTGCCGCAGCTAGATCCCATTCTAGTACTGCACCGAATATAGATCCATCTCTTTCATCAATTAAGGTTTGGGTCAATTTGGAGCAAGGACATTTTCCTCTGTTATGCTCTTTTGTCTGTCAATTCAAGCAAGTAAACTACTTGAATGAAGCAGGAAAATATTGTTCGCTTGTCATTTTCATTATTCATGTATACACAAATCATTTGTGAGAACTCAACCAAATCATCAAGATATGGATGAAAGTTCAGTTAGTCTAATAATAGATTGCAGACAAATTTCTATAGGTATAGTAATGATCTTCATAAAATTAAACAGAAAAAGGGAAAAACATGTTGAAAAAACAACATTAAAAAAGGGGTGTTGCTTGAAACAAGAAATCAAAGAATAAACAATTAATTTTTAATGGGTTTTGTTTGAAACAACAAATTAAAACACAAACAATCGTTTTTTCTTAAAAAATCAACCTTAAAAATTAGGATTTTGGGGGAAGTTTCAAATTAACAAAATTAAAAAACTTTTAAAACCCTAATTTTTTTTAATGGGTTTTTTCTCAAAACAACTAACTAAAAGTTAAATAAATAGTTTCAAACTAAAAATTAAACATAAAAAAATTAGGGTTTTTTTTTTGTGAGATTTTCAAACACAACTAACTAAACTTTTAAAACACACAAAATCTTTATGGGTTTTGTTCGAAATTAGATAAATATAATGTTAATTCAAATAATTTATGATTTGTGTTTTAAAAATTTAAAAAGTTAAGATAACACTATAACATATCTCACGTCAATTTCGAATCGTCCTCGATTCTTCTTCAATCCGACCCTAAACAGCCACACAAACGTTTAATTAACAAGAACACAAGAAATTTGTTTATTTTCAAGCAATTTGCTTGTTAAATTTTTAGGTTTTTTGAGTTTATCTCTCTTTAGAGAGAGATATGATTGATAATTCTTAGATGACATAAAAAGTCTTATTATATGTATAAGGATATTGGCATCATTTTATCCTTCACATGCCTAAAGTTTTATTGTAAAAAGTTCAGGATGTAAAGTGTAATTTTTTTAAAAATAGAACTGTAAAGTATTCTCATTATTTAATTATATCGAGTTTTTGATAATTTATGCTTATTATATATATAAGAGTATTGTTGTCGTTTTATACTTCACCTGTCTAAAATTTCATCGTAAAAAATTCAAAATGTAAAGTGCAATTTTTTAAAAAATAGAAATGCAAAGTGTTCTCACCATCTAATCATAGGGTATTTTTTGTACTTTATAAAAAAAAACCTATAATGAAAAAGAATCCCACTAACCAAGTTTATGCGTAATGGATACTAATTGGGCTTCCAATGGTTGCTGAGCCTAAAGTTAGGCTGTTTAGGCCCAAGATTTGACCTTAATGATTGGATGTGCTAATTACCCACGTTTTTTGAACCAAATTCCACACCGTCACTCTTTCTTAACTCCATTCACACTATGGCCCACAAACAATATAAAAACACTGCCTTTACAGACATAGCCACATTAGCTCTAAGTACTCAACTAATAGAATACATTTATATGAAAAAAGCTGAACATTACTGTAAACAGTATCCATTCAGATTTTTTTCAACCATCAATATGTTTTCAAAATTGTTTCAAAAATTTTTTAAGTTGATTAAGGTATAAGTTGTTCCGAAAATATCTTTTACCGTTAAATTAAAAATAAAACTATCTTCGTACATAAAAGAATAGCATCTAATCAACTTTCCTTGTTTAAATAATTAAGGTATATTGAAGCTAGTTTTTACACCATTAAATTAAAATTTAAACACATATTAAACCATGCTTACACATTTTGATTATTAATGTGAAAAATATTTTTCAAATATATATTTTTATATAGTTAGACCAAAGATAATAGTATAAAAAGCAAATCCATTATATCTCAAAAATTAATAATTACACTTTTTGGTATGGTCAAAAAGAGGAGAAATTATAACCTCCTCTTAAATTTTAAAAGTGAGGTGTTGAATTCCAAATTTGAAACCTCTGAAAAATCCACTAGGAGTTGATGTGGCCAATGAATTTAGCACATCATCAACTTTCTTCAGCATTGACCTTACAACACAAGCTCGTCTATAAAACCAGCTTCATTGACAAGCAAAATAGATCTAACATGTTAGTGCATACCACCACATGCTTCCCATGTAAAAAGGCTGTAAGAAATCATTCAATTCTTCTAATGCATTGCTTCTTGTCGAAATCGTAATGAAAAGTAGGTTATTTTACAGTATTTTTTGATAAAAAAGCATTACGAGAACATTACATTTTTTTTTAATTTGAAAATTTAAATTGATGGAGTGACTAATCCATCCAAATTTATCAAAAGATGTTAATTAAAAATATTTAGGTTTTATCAACAAATTATTGAACAAGTGATAAACGATCTAATATCTAGATGAATATTATAACGACTTACAGTATTTTAAATTTTAAAATTATATTTATTGAAAGAAAATAAATTTTATAATTTTTATTCTAAATATAATTAATTCTATCTTCAATATAAAATATAGAGAATCTTGAGAAAAAAAAATTCAGGTTTCGAACCTATCTTTTATATTTCTTGTAAAGTTTAGATCCTTCACCTTCGCATAACCGGGGTGTTTTTTTTTTTTTTTTTTTTTTTGCGTTTTCATGTGGGTAATATTTGCCAGGTTGCTTAGAGATTCTTTTTCATCCTCGAGAAGCAAAGGTTCTAAATCCTTCTGCAAAAAGGGATCTTTCACATGTCAAGGCTGTTTGTTAATCGATAATAATTGATATTTACTAAATTAGCCCCATGATTTGTCATCTATTAACCACTACGTGATATCCCATCAAAGATAATAAATTAATTTTGTCATGTGATTCCAACAGCTTTTGTCTCCAACCTCGACCAAATTATTAGATTTGGATCTCAAGCAACCGTTCTTTCATCTTCACTATGATGGGATTTCACTGAAGGCAAAAAAGATATCATGATTCACGAAATATAAAGTGAAATTTTCCTTTCTCCCTCTCTTTTGGTAAATTTCGTGTCATCGATCAATCAATTCATCTGTGATTCATGCATATATCATGTTTGAAATAAAAATTCTTGTGTCAATAGTTCTTAAGAAATATGTTTCATCTTTCTTTGCAAAAATCTCATGCAAAATTACATGTACATTTCTTCCTCGAATTTCCAAAATTCTTAATTTCACATGAAATAGTTCTTAAGAATTATGTGTCCTTTCTTTACAAGAATTTTTGAAGGAAAAAAATGGACAGATATAGCAAATTAGCTTAGATTGAAAAAGGGTCTTGTAAATGATTGGAAAAGATGCAATAATCATTCACATTAGCCAACAAATGAATGCCATAATTTTTTTTTTCTTATTCTTTTGGGTATACCTATTTCGTTTTCTTTTCAATGGCTGATCTTGGGTATTGGTTCAAGTTGCAGAGGATTGAGGCTATATATTTTACAAGTACGTACAGATCTCTAGCTATATCCAAAAGCTTACACAAAACCGAGGCCATTATGCATACGAATGTTTCATACAGGCCAGGAAGTGGGGAAGTAATACCCATTGATGATTGACTTGAAAATATTATATAGGAAGCTGTTGGGATCAATAATAACACTCCTAGATTAACTGCTAAAGAGGTGAAGAAGTAAAACAATTTAATATTTTGGTTGATGAGAACCCCACTTTGCCTTAGGTTTTTTTAATGCCAAAGAACATGAATGAATGAAAGCTAACGTGAGTGAACTAACATGGGCAAGCAGCAAAACAAAACAAAGCAGTAGCAATCCGTGTCATGTCGATGGTAATGAGGGTTTATGGCCCATTTGGTCCCTCTAATTTCGATTATCTCCTAGTTTGGTCTCGTTACTTCTATTCGTCCTAGTGTCATCTCGTTTGTTCATTCCATCAATACTGGTGCTAAATCCCACCATTAAGTGCAACAAATGCCACCATATACCATCAATTTTAAGGCAATGTGGTGCTAAATCACTCAAGTTCGGTTGAAATTAAAGTCGTCTCAATGTATAAATTTTCTTCCATTTTGCTTTTTAGTGAAGGGTTTGAAAGAAAATAATTAAGTAATCATAAGTTTATTATAACACCTATATTAGATATGACCAATCTATTTCTTTTATATTCTTAATAGTCTTATCTTTATTTCATTAGAGTTTTCTAATGGTATAGTTTGATATTTTTTTTATTACTTACAAAAATTGATCAATCAAAATAATCGTATAATGCACAATTTATATTAGATCTGACCAATTTATCTTTTTAATGTTTTTGACAATCTATTTTTATAGTATTAGAGTTTTTTGATGGTATATTTTAGTTATCTTTTCTGTTACTTACAGAGAGCAATCCTTCAGAATATATGATTGCAAATAAAGAGTAGGTAGATGAAATTAAGAAAATCAAAGTATAGGGACCAAATAAGCAATATCTAAGAATAGAATGACCAAATGCACCATGAAACATGGGTGATGAGGTAGAAAGATGTGAGGAAACCCCCGGGTATTTTGGCAGAGAACACATCACATGGGGAGAAGTGCAAGGAGAGCTAAATGTGCAGACTGTGCCAATCTGTCAGTGAAAAGGCTGCGTTTCTTTATGCCTTTAAAACTCTAACACTCACTTCCACACGCTAGCTATTTGGGTGATCTCTTATTTCCTTTCCTACTTTATTTGTCTTCAACTTTGCTAACCTCTTAGCCACTCTCTTCCAACTCTTTCAGTTATTCGTCTTCATCATTCCCATCTGTACCCATAACTCTCTCCACATTACCTCTCATCATCACCCTCTTAATTATATATCTTTATAGCACGCTTCCATCGTCCTTTCTACATCTCAATTCTATCTCCTATAAACGTTTCTTGCCTCTCGTTTTTCTTTTCTTGTGACCCCATTTGCTCTTTCTTGAATTTCCTTTGATTTGAAAGATTTAGACTTAGTCAGCTTTGTGGCAAATGGGTCTTGAAATTTCAGAAGAATTCACGCCAATTACGCCAATAAGAACCGTTTCTGTTGCAAGAACATGCAGTACAAGTACTAGCCACGGACCAAAATTCTGTGAGGCCAAGGAAGAAGAAGCAAACGAGATTCTCAATTTTGATGAAGATGATCAGGAGGGTAGTAGTACTCCAAGTACACCAAAGTCACCAACTCATGTTATGAAGTCACCATCGCTGTGCCCACCAGCTCCAAAAAAACCTAGGCCTCCAAAGAGGAAATTGAGTCCTCCTCCACAAGGGTTCTTTGAGATTCCAGTACATGATTTAGATTCGGTTTTTATGGTGCTCCCAACGTGTAATTCCAAGAAGATCAGAGCAACTTAAACAGATATTATAAATCCTGTACTTAATATGTTAGCTAGTCTTTTTCTTGTTCTTGCTGTTTCTTTACAGCTTGTATGATTATTTTTCCTTTTTGTTTTTTTTCCTGGTTTATGAAAAGGCTCGAAACTAGAGTCTTCAAGGGATGGGGGTTACAGAAGGTGAATTGTATTACCATTTTTCACTCCAAATTGCCTTCTTCTTTTTTCACTTCAAATTGTCATGAGAAGAATAACTTGGTGTAAAATATGGTAAATGGAAATAAATAAATTATTTCAAATCACTTTTTCTTAATTTTACGCCTCCGATTCTCAAGATGGATTTTTTTTTTGGGGGGAATTGATTTACAAAGTTCTTGATAAGTCTCTGGTAGACTTGTAGTTAGAAGTTGACGAGTTTGGTGGTTGCAACTTGCAAGCCTACTGCTTTATGATCAACGAATCAACTGACAGTGGATTTAATTGGATCACACAGATGGACAAATTTTGCATACAAACAAGGCTATATCTGGTAAAGGATAAATACACAGAAGTGTATTTATATGCACCCTCTTTGGATTTATAGTCAAGTTCTGTAATTTCCTTTCTAATGCAAAACAAAAAAATTTAGCATAAAAAGGTAAGTATGGCCATTCATTGATGACTTCAGCACATGTCTTTGTTATCAACAATAGATTTTTTTTCTCTCTCTAATATCATGAATGGTCATTGTCAATGGCAACAGTAATAAAGAATCCTAGTCTCAAGAATAAAATTTTGTGTAAATACACTACCCTAGATATGAAAATTAACTTGAAAATATAGCTATTATTAAAATGAAGAAAAAGAAGATGAAGAAAATTCTTATAGATACATCTTGAATTAGTAATCCACTCGACGGTTGCTTAACACAATAGATGAAATCATTTGAAAAAAATCATTATGATTTAATAGTTTTTGCTACGCTATAAATCTAATAAATCTATTGAAATCAAAAACAAAAAAATATATTCACCTACTTTTATGATTTTTTAATCAAAATTTTGTATTTAATTAATTATTTTTTGTGTTTTTTAAAAAGATTTCCTTTCTGAAAAACACACGATTTATTTTTTTGTTATGCATGGATTCTTAAATAAAAAATTTATAATAATCTAAAATGCAAGTTTTAATTTATTAGAAATCCTAAAAAAAAAATGTATAAATTTAATTATTTATTTTATAAGATTGTATTAAGAAAATAAAGCTATAATTAATTTTAAAAAATTGCTTAAAAAATTTAAGATTAAAAATATTTTTTTATAATATTGATGAGAAGATGAATTTTTAAAATTATGTGTATTAGGTTTATATAAATATATTTATATAATAATAATAATTAATTTTTAAAAAATTGCATAAAAAACTCTATTTAAAAAGTATGGTACCATCGGGTGTTGTTTTTAATATATATATATATATATATATATATATATATATATATATATATATATATATATATATATATGAAAATAATTGATTTCAAAATATTCATTTAAAAAAAGTAAATATTAAGCATTTTTTTTTGTGCATATGCACAATCAATTTGTAACTAAAAAAACTATTAAAATTAATTTTGACATTTAATTTTATTATAAATAATATAATAGCAATTTTATTATACTTTTAAGGCTCAAACATTTTGTCAAGTAAATTGAACATAGCATAAATAAATAAAAAAATCAATACAAATGCATATAGATTTGAACTGCTATTCAAAGTAGAAAAAAAAAATTCTTCAACAACAAAACCAACCATCAAATAAGATTTTTTTTTTTCAAGGAGAGCATAAATGCAAGTTACAATTTATCAAAAATCCTAAAAATGTGTATAAATTTAATCATTTATTTTATAAGATTGTATCGAGAAAATAAAGCAACAATTAATTTTTTTGAAAATTATATAAAAAATTTAATATTTAAAATAATTTTTTATAATATTGATGAAAATATTATTTTTTAAAAGCATGTATATTAGATATATGTATATTAGATTTTTAAAAAATAAGCATTTTTTTAAAGAAAGCATAAAAGTGTTGGCATATAACTTTAGACACAAAAATAAAATCACCATATATATATATATATATATATATATATGCACTCAAAATAATAAATAATATTAGAATAAAAAAATCTATTTAAAACTATGGTACCATCAAAAATTGTTTTTAAATTTATTTGAGAGGAATTGATTTCAAAATATTCATTTTTTTTTAAAAGTAAATATTAAGTGTTTTTTGCGTATATGCACAATCAACTTGCAATTGAAAAAATAAGTAATTTTTTTTTAAAAAAGCATAAAAGCGTCTCTAGATTACAACTTTGGCCCCAAAAATAAAATCACCATGTCATATTTATAAGATTGTTTAGTTTCTTATACCTAATACATGTGATATTTATAAGATTGTTTAGTTTCTTATACCTAATACAATCCTTTTTAATGCATTCTTTTTATATAGGTTAGGATATTCATATAAAAGAAATTAGCTGAAAACAATGATGAAGGAGTTTCTTGAATTGCAAAGTAAATTACAAATTAGTTGCTCTTGTTTTGAGAAATTAATTAATAAGTCCTTTTAATTTCAAAAACTAATTATTTAATTATTTTAACTAGTGTTGACCATGATAATTTTTCTTAATTATAAAATATCTTCTTTTCTCTCTTTTTTTCTTCATATTTTCACTTATTTTTTTATTCCTTTTCTATATGTTAAAGAAAAAATTAAAATAAATTGAAAAATAGCAAATAAAAACTAAATAATCAGTTTTTTAAATCATAGAAACTAATTGATTTTTTTGTGGAAATAACAAGGACTAATTTATAATTTATTCTTGAATCCCAGTTGCTTCTCTACAAAAAATAAAGAGGAAAAAAAAACAATGAATGACAGGAGCATTAAATGCTTTGTCTAAAACAAATGATTTGACAAAGGAAATCACAAAAAAATAAAAATAAAAAAAATAAAAAGCTAAATAAGTAAATTAAAAGTAAATCAGTCAAGGATAAATATAAAATTTTACAAATTCACTTTGTGGCATGACAGAAATTAAGAGTAAAATAAAAGAGTCTATAATTTTTCTTAATTATAAAATATCTTCTTTTCTCATTATTTTTTTCTTATTTTCACTTTTTTTATTCCTTTTCTATATGTTAAAGAAAAAATTAAAATAAATTGAAAAATAGCAAATAAAACTAAATAATCTATTTTTAAAATCATAGAAACTAAATATTTTTTTGTGTGAAAACAACATGGGCTAATTTATAATTTATTCTTCAATTGCAATTGCTTCTCTACAAAAAATAAAGAGGAAAAAAACAATGAATGACATGAGCATTAAATGCTCTGTCTAAAATAAATAATTTGACAAAAAAGAAAAAGCTAAAGAAGCAAATTTAAAGTAAATCAGTGAAGGATAAATATAAAATTTCATAAATTCACTAATTGGCATGACAAAAATTAAGAGTAAAATAAAAAAGCCTTTGTATGTAAAGTAAAAAAAAAGTAGCCAGCAAAACCCAAAAATTGGATTAAAAAAAAACATGGTATGAATAGTTAAAAAAGAAAGTGTGAACAGTATATAAATAATAAATATCTCATGTATTTTAGTTTCTTTTGTAATTATCCAGGACTAATTCCCTTGGATGAGCATGTTATGTGCCTAAATCAAAGAAATAACAAGTATAGCTATTTAATTGTTAGCATTCTTATTATGTTAAAAAAAAAAATTGTATGGCTATCCTACATTCAAAGAATGTGATCCAAATTCCCACACATAAAAAAAATAAAAATAAAAATTAAGTAACAATATCGTTGTTTTTTGCTAAAAAATTTTTATTAATATACTTAATACAAGTATAACTTGTTTCGAGTGTCATAATTCATAATTAATAGTAACAGATTTAGATTGATTTGTTCTAAAACACAATTTGATAATCGATCAAAACTTGATATGTTCTTACATTAGTTTAATTAAAACAAAAGTGATCGGTTAAATTTCAATTACCTTCCTAATTACTTCTCTTGTAATCTTTTACTACCTATCTAATTGTTAGCATTCTTATTATGTAAAACAAACTATCAACTAGATGAAAGTGAAAATGTACCTTGTAAGAGACCGATGAGGATAACCTTGTAGGGGTTTGCATCTGCCCAATCAACCACACCACAAGTAGACTAGTTATTATCACAGACCAAATCAATATATATATATATATCTCTAGAATCCTTAAAAACATGAGCATGAAGCACCTCTCAGTGTACTTTTCAATAATAAGTAGGATTTTCCTGTTCATGGATCTATGGGGATTGGAGTAAATTATAAATTAGTCCTTCTAGTTTTTCAAAAGAAATTAAATAGTCCTACTAGTTTCAATAACTAATTAATTAATATTTATATTTTTGAATCTATTGATAACATAATCTTTTTCATTCTTTTTTATTTTTTTGAATAAATAACTCAATATGTCTTTATATAATATTCTAAGTCTTTTATCTCGTTTCTAGTTTTTTAACCGCATTTCATCTATTTTTAAAACTTTTTGAGATGTTTAATTTATCATTTCAATCAATTTTTTAACATAAATTCTTTTAATAATAATAAAAAATAAAAAATAAAATATACAGATGATGTGATTTTTAGTTTTTTTTTCTTTTTTTTTTTGAAAATAATGCAACCATCGTGTCGATTTTTTTTTGAAATAAACACAACGAAGTAACAGAAGAAGTAACCTTGTCATCATTGGAGTGCATTAAGAGACCACAATCTTAACCATAATGTAATATAATATAGTGATGAATTTAATTAAAAATAGTAAAGGACATTTTTTTTAGAAAATATAAAAAGTAGAAGGACGAAATAATAGTATTAACCCCTTTTCTTTTACTCGAGAGAATGAAACTCTTGACGCTTAGCTCCCATTTTGCATAGTCGATGTCAAAAAAGATGTCTCTGTGTCTCTCCCTCTCCCTCTCTTACACACACATAAGAAAAATCTATGGTAATTACTGTCTCTATGCTTATAACAACACTAAGGGAACAGAGACAGAGACAATACAGTATAGTAGTTATTGGGCATTTACTGCAGCCAATCCCATTCAGCTCGTAAGCCAGCAATATCAAGAACAAACCCCAAGCACCATTGACTATGTCAGGGCAGGTACCACCACAATCACTTCCAACTTCCTTTTACATTAATTTTAAGAATGTTTCAAAGTGGATTTCTTTGGTTTTGCTCTTACACTTCCTGTAATTTGACTTAGCTGGATAGAATCCTCTGTTTTTGGCTTATCTTTATGATGCTAGCTTATGTCTTGCTTATTACTGTGATTGAGCCTTTGTAGCCGAAGTTTTTATCCACCCTTGAGTTAATGCCTTTTGGCATTGCTAATTATGTCTCCAACTCTACACGAGCAATGCAAAGATGGCATCTTTTTTGCCTTAAACTGTTAAACACTATTATCTACGCTTGCTCAATGTGTTCTTGACACTTCACAAGGAATTGAAGAGGTCCAATTTCTTTTTAAAATTTTCTAAAATTTGATTTTTCTTGAAACGTGTGGAGTTGATTGATTACAAACTCCTACTAGTATTTACTTGGGTAGTTAATTGATAAACCATCAATGTCTTTGGAGAAAAACGACGTTTACCCTTTCCTAGTTTTGTCAAAGCTTCATTGGTGCATGTCCATTTACTTTTTATGTAAACTCAGAGACTTGGATGACATTAGAACTGTCGTCTTCAGCCGCCACCACGACCCGCTGACGAAATTTCAAAGGCTAAACGAGCCAAAAGCGTTTTGAATTTAATTTTGATCAAAGTAAGATTTTTTTTTTTTAAAAAATTAACCTATCCCAAATTTTCCTTTTCTTGAAATCAATGAAGAATAGATGTGAACCTGTCTCTCTCCCCTTCTCTTATACACACGGAGGTCGCACAGAGGAGGGAAAAATCACAAAGGTCACGCAGAGAAGGAACATATCTTGTCATCACTGCATGCTCTTTGCATGTTAGAAAAGAAGCTAAGGAGACATATAAAAAGCAGAAGTAGTTGATGGGGATTTACTGGAGTTGTTCAGCTTGCAAGCCAACAACAATCCAAGGCCAAGACACGACACCAAGCACCATCGACCATGTCAGTGAAGGTATCGTTTCAATCACTTTCACTGCCCATTTGTTGCTTCCAATTGGGTTTATATTGGTTTTGCTCTTGTTTTTCTCTAATCTTTCTCAGTTGAATTCAATCTTCTTGCTTAAAATCTGTTTTCATAGATTCGGAACTAAACCTACAAACATCCCTGAATTATAAGCCTTTCTTATTCAAAGCCCTCGAGACATATACAAACATCCCTGAATTATAAGCCTTTCTTATTCAAAGCCCTCGAGACATATACGTATTTGGGAAAGGGTGGCGATTTCTGACCGGTTGAAATCAAGGGAATTAGGGATGCTGCCAAGGCAGTAAAACCAGAGTGATTCAAGTATAAAAAAATCTCTATCATTGATTTGCAAAGTGGTCAAATCACAGGGGGACTTAATCACAAGTAGTTGGGTATTTTCGGGCCAGTTTTAGCATCGATTGATACTAAGTCTACCACTTCTTAGGCTAAACCCGCGCTAGAACATACTTAGCCTTTGGTGGGAACTTTTCTACATTGTAAAATTTTGTTTTGGAGACAATAATGATTGTAATTTCAGTTACCACTTGCCATTTCTTGAGAAATATCGGTTGTAAGACATTATATGATTTTTTGAATGTTTGTGCCATGGTGATACATCTTTTGCAGGTAGTGATGAATTTGGCAACAGCTGGTTATGGACGGTGAGCAACAGCCTTACAACATGGATGTCTCAACCAAGTAGCAGCTTTACAAGTATTTGGGGTCATAATATTCCTGAGAGCAGTCAATTCTCAGATGCAATTGAAAGTGGGGATGGGGATTTAGCAAATGAGCAAAGTGCTATGAACTCAAACCCGAGAAGATTCACGTTGTCACAACTGAAGGCTGCTACATATAATTTTAGATCGGATATGCTGTTGGGAAAAGGAGGTTTTGGATTTGTCTATAAGGGTTGGCTTAAGGAGAAGGTTCCTCCAAGGGGGATAAAGAAGACAGCCATTGCCGTTAAGAAATTGGGTTCCGACAGCTTGCAAGGAGGTAAGGAGTGGAAGGTATATTTGCTCTCAAATGTTACATTTACCATCTGTCTATTAATTGTGCTCGAAGGTAGTAGCTACTAAAATATTTTGTGCTTAGTTTTCTATGGTTCATCTCTGCTTCACCTTCCTCTGTCTTTCTCTTTCAGATCGAAATGCGTGTACTTGTGGGAAGCTAGTTCATTGTTTTAGATAACATAAGTTGTTTGCTTATTTGTTAGTCCATGTTTTGGTACAGGCAGAAGTTTGTTTGTCAGGAATGCATTCTCATCCGAACCTTGTAAAGCTATTGGGTTATGGTTTGGAAGGTGAAGATCACATCCTTGTCTATGAGTTCATGAAAAAGGGAAGCTTACATTACCATCTATTTGGAAGTAAGAGACATTTATTTCTTGTAAATTTTAGTATTTTGCGAAGCCTGTTCTTTCTGCAGCTAATCAAATCTTCATTTACTTTTCTATTCTCTACTTGTTTTGCATGTTTGTAGAGCATTCCGTTCCACCGCTTCCATGGGACATAAGGCTGAAGGTTGCGATAGACACTGCTCAGGGCCTGGCTTACTTGCACACATTGGAGAGGCCAATTATATACAGAGATTTCAAGTCTTCAAATATACTACTCGATGAGGTATGGTTCTATGAAACTTCTAGTTTATTACCCTTAAAACATATAAATTATGAATGGTAATCATGACTTCAGTGACTAGACCTTTTTCTTGCCATGGTGATATGTGAATTTTTATTTATGATCTTGTACCTAGCTGATCTGATCATTCCCTTTCTCTCCAGCCTTCAATTGTTGCCAATCTGTCAAATTATTATGGAAAATGAAACAAAAGTGTCAACTTTCAGAAAATTGTTTGTCGAAGTATTCAAGATAACTTATTTCCTTTGAACTTGCTTTAGTTCTATAATGCGAAGCTAGCAGACTTTGGCTTATCATTTTGGGGTCCTTTGACTGATTCACATGTCAATACAAGAATCGTGGGCACGATGGGTTATATGGATCCTGAATACATTGCAACAGGTGCTTTCTTGTTTCTTTTGAAAGTCTCGAGACATTGATTTTGATTATTTTAGTTTGTGTCGAAAATGGTTTCGTCACAACTGACTTCAAAACTTCTGTTGTGACATTGATTTCGTGCTAATCAATGGATGTTGATTGGTCAGGCCATTTGCATGTAAAGACTGATGTATATGGGTTTGGAGTTGTTCTGGTTGAGATGCTGACTGGTTTACGTGCAATTGACAAGAGACGTTCGATTGGGCAACAGAATCTCATTGACTGGGTTAAACCACGTGTGACAAATAGAAGAAAGTTGAAAGATATGATGGATTCCCGGTTGGAGGGAAAATATCCTTCTAGACAGGCTTCACAGTTAGCTCACCTTGCTATTAAATGTCTTCAACTCACTCCCCGCTTGCGGCCATCATCTACAGAAGTTGCTGAAACGCTTCAGCAGATTCAAGCAGTTCATATTAGATCAGGGGAGCCTAAAATCCCTTCTGGTTATCAGTAGTGTTCTAGTATTCTTCTTCATATGATTGTCATCACAGGGGAGAGATCTCTGCTATACTGATCTACTAACAGATTTTTGAATTTACACAGATTTTCCTCTAATTAGTGCGCATGAAATGTCACGGACAAGCCTTTCGGCATGCGATTAGCTGTAGCAGAAAGAGATGGTAGTGTTCAGCTAGTGATCAAGGGCACATTTCGCTATGTATGCAGATTACATATTTCCTTTAATCCGCATTTTCCTCTTAGTAATATGGAATTAGCCATAGATTAATCCTCTAAATAGAACTTACAAAAAGTGGAATTTACTTCGAGCCTAGTACATATCATAGCATACACAAGACTGTTAACATGTGAGATGTATCCACCTTCTTCTCAGCAATGGAGTGCGTTGTTAAAGGACTATGAACCACCCTCTCAATGTATTTCTCAACAATAAGTAGGATTTGCATGTGACCGCTTCATAGAGATCGCCATCTCTAAAATGTTTCTTTTGGCTAAATGATTTGAACCGTTATTTGAGAATCAATCCCTCATTTTGTAATTGTGATCTGGATTTTTCTTTGATCATTTTTTATTTGAAATTGAATTTTTTTATGAGTTCATAGAAAGGATACGTAACTTATACGTAGTTGATATTTTAACTTTGTCAAAAAAAAAAAAAAAAAAAAAAAAAAAATATATATATATATATATATATATATATATATATATATATTTGTAAATTTGTTTCTTTCGTTTTGAGATGTTCTTCAATTGCTTACTTTTTAATATTCAGTAAGAAAGAAACAAGTTTTGACAAAAAAAAAAAAAATTTATAGGTTTTAGTATTTTTTTTTAATTGTGGAAAAATTATATTTACATGTTAAAAACGTAACATAATCATCGAATTCTAAATAAAAAAATAATAATTCGAGAGAGGTCTAATTAAAAAAGAAGTTGAGAAATCGAATTTTTTAAGTAACTTAAACTTCAAGAAATGTTTGAATTGTTCGATCATATTTTTTATTGTAATAAAAAACTTCATTTCAAACTCACTGTTCAATGGAGCTTTCAAATTGTTTGTCTTAGATTTACTTTAAGCTGTAATGAACAAACCATCACCAGATAATAAGAAATACGACTGTCATGTCGATTTCTGAAATAAATATAACAAATGAGAGACCTCATCGTCAGAAAATTAGTACAAGAACTATATTAAAAAATATATAAAAAATAGAAAGACAAGATACCTGCGGAACCGTTTTTCTTGTTTTCACCTCATGATAATGGAGCACTGCCACCTAATGAAATTTGACACTCAATCTCAACTTGAATGCTCCAAGTCAAAGTCAAAAAGATGTCTCTTCCCTTGAAATTGTCTCTCTTTCTCCCCCTCTCTTATACACACACACACACACAAGGAAAATCTATGGTCATTACTTACTGTCTCTTTGCAGTTTGCACAGTATTACAACAAGAAGGGAAAACAGATTACAGCAGCAGTTTGAGTAATGGGCATTTGCTGCAGCTGTTCAGCTCATAAGCTAGCAAGAGGCCAAGACTATCAAGACCCAGGACCAAGCACCATCGACCATGTCAGTGCAGGTACGACCACAATCATTTACAACTTCTCTTTACTTCAATTTTACTATGATATTGGGCTTATTTTGGTTTTGCTCTTACACTTCTGTAATTTTAGTTAGTTGTATAGAATCCTCTGTTTTTGGCTTAATTTATAACATTTCTTCTGCTTATCAAGACCCAGGACCAAGCACCATCGACCATGTCAGTGCAGGTACGACCACAATCATTTACAACTTCTCTTCACTTCAATTTTACTATTATATTGGGTTTATTTTGGTTTTGCTCTTACACTTCTGTAATTTTACTTAGTTCTATAGAATCCACTGTTTTTGGCTTAATTTATAACATTTCTTCTGCTTACCTCATGTTTGTGACTGTGGTTGAGTCTTTTTTGTTGGTGCCCCTTTACCGTTTTATTGCTGTTAATGCCCTTTAGCATTGCTAATTGTGTCCAACCCTTGAAGCAATGCAAAGATGGCATCTTTTTTGCCTCTGGCAGTATTTTATAGGGTTGCTCATTGTGTTTTGGATTCTTCAATGTGTTGATGAATGCAATCTCAGGACATATGTACTGAGTTTAATTGAATTAAGAGTGTTGCTAATGGAATGAAACACTAGTTACTTAAGTGCCAGAAAAAAGGGAAAAAAAAAAAAAAGAGAGAGTCTATCTATCTTTTGAGTGCAAAAATGGTCAAATCATAAGGGACTTGTTTACTTTTCATTGTTTCACTCCTGGAATTGTTAGTTGCAATTTCTGTTTGTGTCTTCATTTTCTGATTATATGAGTTTTAATTCATCTTTGTAGGTAGTGATGACGTTGGCAACAGCTGGTTTTCTACGGTAAGCACCAGCATTACAACATGGATATCTCAACCAAGTAGCAGCTTCACAACTATTTGGGGTAAAAATATCCCCGAGAGCAGCCAATTCTCAGATGCAACTGGAAGCGGCAATGGGACTTTAGCAAACGGGGAAAGCACTACCAACTCAAATGTGAGAGTTTTCACATTGGCACAGATGAGGGCTGCAACATATAATTTTAGATCCAATATGGTGCTAGGAAAAGGAGGTTTTGGTAATGTCTATAAGGGTTGGCTTATGGAGAAGTTGCCTCCAAGAGGTATAAAGAAGACAGCCGTTGCTGTCAAGAAATTGGGTTCTTACAGCATGCAAGGATTTAAGGAGTGGAAGGTATATGGATTTTGAAATGTTGTATGTACTATCTGTCATACAGTCATACTGTTCTTTGTTGTGTGCTCTAGTAGGGTCCACTAAATTCTTTCTTATTTTTTTGTTAGCTTCAAAAGACCCCTTTTGGAAGAGGAATGTTACTTCAAAGCTCCTTTGATTACCATCCAATGTGAATGTGTAAAATGACTTGGGAATAATTCAGGCTATGTTTCTAAACATTTTGTGTGACATCACATAAGTAAACAACTAAGTCCATGATATTTGTGATTTCGTATTTTAAACCATGAAGAAAAAAATCTACTGAGGTGGTTAAGAGAATTCTGAGTTATTGATATCTTATACCTTTAGATTTGTGAGCATTTCTATTTCCCACCCTTTCCTTTCCCTTCGTCTCTGTCTTTCTTTCAAAGGCAAATGGACATACTTTTAGGGAGCTATTTCTTTGTTTCAGGCTATATAAGTTGTTTGCTTAATCATTTTTCTTTGTGTTGGTGCAGGCAGAGGTGTATTTCTTAGGAATGCATTCTCATCCAAACCTAGTAAAGCTATTGGGATATTGTTCGGAAGGTGGAGACCGCATCCTTGTTTACGAGTTCATGAAAAGGGGAAGCTTAAATTACCATCTCTTTGCAAGTAAGAGACAATAACTGCTTGTAAGGTTTAGCATTTTGCAGAACTTGCATTATTCTGCATCTAAATCTTCATTTCCTTCATTCCCTACTGTTTTCCATGTTTGCAGAGCGCTCAGTACGACCACTTTCCTGGGACATGACGCTGAAGATTGCGATAGATACTGCTCGAGGTCTGGCTTACTTGCACACATTGGAGAAGCCAATAATTTACAGAGATTTCAAGTCCTCGAATATACTACTCGATGAGGTAAGTTTCAATGAAGCTTGTAGATTCTAACCTTAAACACATAAATTATGAATGCGATTTCATGACTCCACCCATGACTGAACCAATTTCTTGCTATGGTGGTATGGGAATTTTTAGTTAAGTCTTGTACCCATCTGAACATTCCTTTCTCTCCAGCCTTTAGTTCTTGCCAGTCCACTGAAACTAGTTATGGGATAATGCAACCAAAAGTGTTATCTTTCCAATAGTGTTTGTTGAAGTATTCAAGAAGACTTATTTGCTTCCAACTTCTCTTTTTATTTTAGCACTATAACGCGAAGCTATCAGACTTTGGCTTGTCATTTTGGGGTCCCTTGACTGATTCACATGTCAGTACAAGGGTTACGGGCACGTTTGGTTATATGGATCCTCAATATATTGCTACAGGTGCTTATTATTCCTTTTGAACTTGATCGTCTCTGACATTGACGTTGGATTTTTTAAGCTTATTCTGAAGAGCTTTGACCTTGATTTCATGCTCTAATTGATGGTATGCTGGTTGGTTAGGACATTTGCATGTAAAGAGTGATGTCTACGGGTTCGGAGTTGTTATGGTTGAGATGCTAACTGGCTTACTCGCAATTGACATGAAACGTCCGAGTGGGAAGCAGATACTTGTTGACTGGGTTAAACCCTATTTGACAAATAGAAGAAAGTTGAAGAAAATAATGGACTCCCGGTTGGAAGGAAAATATCCTCCCAAAGAGGCTTCCCAAATAGCTCACCTTGCTATTAAATGTCTTCAATTTGATCCCCGCTTCCGGCCATCAATGACAGAAATTGCTGAGACACTTGAACAGATTGATGCCATCCATATGAGAATGGGGGAGCCCAAAATTCATTCTGGTTATCATAGTAGTTAGTAGTATTTTATTATCCTTCTTCATTAATTGTCAACACAGGTATGCTTTCTTCATATAATTTATACAAGAATTCATGTAATTCGTTCTCATGGCATGTTTTGAGTTTATTTGACTAGCTGTAGCTGAACGAGTTGGAAGTGTTTGGTTAGTATTAAGGGCACATCTTACCATGTACGCTGATTTTTTTTCGTATTAATACAGTTATTTCTTTCATTGCACTGGTGGACTCACATTGATAGAGTATTTTTTAGCAAAGAATCTGTAATTATTGGAAGCCTGTTTATACTTTATTGGAATAAGGGAAGTAGTGGTTATTTGCTTTTAACTTTTTTAACCTTCTCTTGTCAGATGGTAGACAACAGACTTGGGTTGTACAAAAGTTGTTCTTCTTTTTAGTAACTCTCTGTTCGATGAATGAATAGCTGTAAATGCAAGTCGCAATATTTAGGCTAACATTATAATCTGATAAGAGCAATGATCTTACATACTCAGAGGGAAACTCATCTTTTCCCTCCAACTCCAGTTTTGTACTAAGCAACCAACAATATTCCCCTTTCATAAAAGCACGGTAAAGTTGGAACAAACCTTGAAGAAAAAACAGACCTTCCATTCTTTGTAGTCTTGGCTTGAAAATCATACAAGGGAGAATTGAAGTTGCAATGAACCCTCTCTGAAGAGCCTATGAAGACCAGACTAATCATATTACCTGAGCCACTGCCTTAACAAGTAGGATCTGCAGGACCGATATATTTCATTATTTTGTTCTACATAGACCAAGTCTCTGCAATAATTTTTTCTCTGAAGACACAAGTACATAGAGCTATTTGATGGGTATTTGCTGGAGCTCTGAACCTGACAAGTCAAAGTCAGATCCTGTACCAAGCATTATTGATATCAGTGCAGGTATACAAAAAATATTCTTTTTTCTTAGAAATCATTTCTGCATGTTCAGAACCAAATTATGCAGTTTTTAGCTTGAAGTTCTTTTTTCTGAAGCAGGTGATGCATCTTTTGTTGGTGACAACAGCTGGCTCACTGTTGCAAGCACCTATGTTACGGCATGGGTATCTCAAGTAAGTGATAGTTTTACAAGTATTTGGGCCAAGAGTAATGCCACTGAGAAAGCGGAATGCTCAGATGCAAGCAATAATAACGATTTTTCAAAAGGATATGTTAATATTGCTGGCACAAACTTGAAAGTTTTCTCATATGCACAATTGGAAGCTGCAACTAATAATTTTAGAAGGGAAATGATGGTGGGGAAGGGAGGTTTTGGCAACGTATATAAGGGTTGGCAAAAGGAGAAGGTACCATCAATGGGGATAAAGAAAGTCATTTCTGTCAAGAAATTGAGTGCTGGTAGCTGGCAGGGAGTTAAGCAGTGGCGGTTATGTGCTTTTGAATTGTAAGTCTTGCACTTCTCCATTATACAGTAATTTTGTAATCCTGAAACTTTTAGTTCTTCAGTATATTTTCTTTGTTACTTGGTGATATGAGGTGGAATTATTGGTAGCTTGTGCAAATGTTGTTGTTGGCTCTGCTGTTCTTAGTTTTGAAGGCCTAATAAGGTGCAAACAAACAATGGGTTCTAAGAAAGATGATTGATGCTGTTAGCTTAGAAAATTGGTAGTGGTTAAACCGTATGCGAACACATTAAAGGGACTATGAATCTAGAAATATCTAACCACTTAGTTCAATCAGCCTGCTTACATTTCGATTGTGGTAAAATAGTTTTGATTTCTAGATGTTCTTGACCTATAGAATCAATGCCTTTTCTCTCTCTTTACACACACACACACACACACACACACACACACACACACACACACACAGAAGCTTTCTATTTTTACAGTTTCTTAATCTTAATTGTAATTTGATTTAACATCAAGTTCTTCTGTGAGCATTGTGTGCTTATTGGGTTGTCTGCATGCTGGTGCAGGCAGAGGTGAATAGTCTGGGAAGGCTTTCTCATCCTAACCTTGTTAAGCTGTTGGGATACTGTCAAGAAAAAGGGGTAGCTTAAATTACCATCTATTTGGAAGTAAGAGCTAGCAATCTAGATTTACCATCTATTTGGAAGTATAGGATCACAAATTTACAATCATTGAATTATCATCTGTTGGGAAGTTTAAAATCGCATCCAAATGCAGAGAATTTTCCCACACGAATATTTTTGTTCTTATGTTTCTTTTGTGCAGAGGGCTCAATTCAGCCACTTCCAAGGGACAAAAGGTTTAAGGTTGCTATGGGAATTGCTCAAGGCCTGGCTTACTTGCACAGTCCTGAAATGTTGGTAATTTCCAGAGATTTAAAGTCTTCGAATATACTTCTTGATAAGGTACCAACAGTTCAGTTAATTTGTGGATTGCTACCTCGAAAAGCATCAAGACCTGTCATAGCATAAATTATTCTCATCAAGCTAACAAGACAAAGGTTTTCGTCTACATTTCTCTTCACTTTTTGAGCATGTTTATTCCATCTAGTCTTCCACTCAATGAATGAAGATAGGGCTAGGCGATTGAAATATCTGTGACCAAACAGTTGATTTCTCTTGCAGAAATCTTTTCCAAAGGATCCATAATATTGATGTTACTTTATGTTTTGGTTTTACTCCAGTTCTATAATCCAAAAATATCAGACCTTGGCTTGGCATTGGTTCTTTCAGCTGACGATTCACACATCGAAACACGTGTGATGGGAATGTATGGTTATGCTGCTCCTGAGGCCGAGAGTGCAAGTAAGATTTCTTGTTCTTGATCCCTTAAGTTCTGAATCAAATGTGACATACAAACTGGCGTTATCATGTTGCTGATTGATCAAGAAATTTTTGTGCAAAGAGCGATGTCTACAGCTTTGGAATTGTTGGTTGAGATCCTAAAAGGCTTACGAGCAATGGATAAAAAACAAAACATATAAATTTTTGGTACAGGCAGAGGTGAGTATGTCTGGAACGCATTCTCATCTGAACCTTGTAAAGCTATTGGGTTATGGTATGGAAGGTGAAGACCGCATCCTTGTCTATGAGTTCATGAAAAAGGGAAGCTTACATTACCATCTATTTGGAAGCAAGAGACATTTATTTCTTGTAAATTTTAGTATTTTGCGAAACCTGTCTTTTCTGCGGCTAATCAAATCTTCATTTCCTTTTTTATTCTCTACTTGTTTTGCATGTTTGTAGAGCACTCTGTTCCACCGCTTCCATGGGACGTAAGGCTGAAGGTTGCGATAGACACTGCTCAGGGCCTGGCTTACTTTCACACATTGGAGAGGCTAATTATATACAGAGATTTCAAGTCTTCAAATATACTACTGGATGAGGTAAGGTTCTATGAAACTTCTAGATTATTATCCTTAAAACATATAAATTATGAATGGTAATCATAACTCCAGCGACTAGACCTTTTTCTTGCCTTGGTGATATGTGAATTTTTATTTAGTATCTTGTACCTAGCTGGTCTGATCATTCCCTTTTCCTCCAGCCCTCAATAGTTGCCAATCCATCAAATTATTATGGGAAATGCAACAAAAGTGTCACCTTTAAGAAAATTGTTTGTTGAAGTATTCAAGATAACTTATTTCCTTCGAACTTGCTTTAGCTCTATAATGCGAAGCTAGCAGACTTTGGCTTATCATTTTGGGGTCCTTTGACTGATTCACATGTCAATACAAGAATCGTGGGCACGATGGGTTATATGGATCCTGAATACATTGCAACAGGTGCTTTCTTGTTTCTTTTGAAAGTCTCGAGACATTGATTTTGATTATTTTAGTTTGTGTCGAAAATGGTTTCGTCACAACTGACTTCAAAACTTCTGTTGTGACATTGATTTCGTGCTAATCAATGGATGTTGATTGGTCAGGCCATTTGCATGTAAAGACTGATGTATATGGGTTTGGAGTTGTTCTGGTTGAGATGCTGACTGGTTTACGTGCAATTGACAAGAAATGTTCGATTGGGCAACAGAATCTCATTAAATGGGTTAAACCATATGTGACAAATCGAAGAAAGTTGAAAGATATGATGGATTCCCGGTTGGAGGGAAAATATCCGTCTAGACAGGCTTCACAGTTAGCTCACCTTGCTATTAAATGTCATCAACTCACTCCCCGGTTGCGGCCATCATCGACAGAAGTTGCGGAAACGCTTCAGCAGATTCAAGCAGTTCAGATTAGATTAGGGGAGCCTAAAATCCCTTCTGGTTATCAGTAATGTTCTAGTATTCTTCTTCATATGATTGTCATCACAGGGGAGAGATCTCTGCTATACTGATCTACTAACAGATTTTTGAATGGGTACTGCTAAATTCACCACATTAATTGTTATTCCCACCATTTGTTTCTTAGACATTTGCTAACATACTCTCTATTTTATATGTTTTACATTAAATATCCAAAATACCCATTAAAATTAACACATGACAAAATAAACAAAGATAGTTGGGCTCACATTGTTTTGACATTTTTTAATCAAACTACCAAAAGTCTCTCGCATTGTTATGCCGTTGTGCCATCAAAATACAAAAGTCTCTCCACATAAAAATATTGAACAAAATCCTTTGGCTTCGCCTGCTGCTGAAGAAAAAATACTGGGAAGATAGTTAGGCTCTGTTTCATAAGGATTTTGGAATAATAAAATCCAGCTTTGGATAATAAGATTAGAAGCAGCTGACTTGAAGCTTAACTGACACAAAGCATCAAACACAGCTTAAGGAAAAGCAAAAGGGAAACCTGAAAGTACTCAATCTCTCTGTCTCATCTAATTCTTCTGAAACTGATGTAATTCTTGTCTGTTTTAGTTTTTGTTTCTTTGTTGAGAATCATATAATTTTGTTAGTTCTGCTTAAAAGATTGATCGTAAGTAATTATTATATCAAAATTTCTTACTACAACTTATTCATCTGATCTGATCTCATCATGCTGCTCGGAAAAGAAGTTATGAACTTAATAACTGATTTTGTTAGTTCTGCAGAGAAATTGAACAACTTGTGTTCCTTTCTAAATTTTAATATTGTATTAGCCAATTGGGCATCTTCCGTTGACTTTCATTTCCTGCTCCTTTTGTGCTTCTAAATGTTTGCAACAAGTTCTGATAACATGTGAGATAAAAACATCTGAGAAGTAGTAGAAGGATTTGAAGCTGGGCTGGTGCTGTCAAAAGTGGTGCAGCTGAAAAATTTAAAAAACTAACAAGCAGATTAGCAATGGCAAACGTAATATTTATCACTCTTCCAACTCATTGGAATTCTTTTTCTTAAGTTACAGAGACAAACTTTTGCTGTATCCCCCTGCTGCAGTTGGCTTCTTGTTCTCAGATTATAGACAGATATTCTGATTGAAGCTTCGAAGCAGTTGAAGAAAATGAATGCCGTGGACGTGGAGTAGCATATTCTTGTGCAAATAGGCTGAGAAACCATGTTTGCCCTCATGCTGCGGTGATTTTTCCTGATCCAGTGTCAACCTATGGTTCAAAACTTGAGGTTATAAGTCAGGCCACTACCAATCCCATTGTTCTTCGTGGAATATAATGATGCAATTTTATTGTCATCATGTTGGGGCTCATTTATGCGCCGCGGACTTCATTTCATCACCATTAATTCCTCCTCCTTTTTTCCTTCCAGATCTGTTAGGCAGTCTCAATTTGATGAGTATTTAACGTAAAACATATAAAATTATTATTTAAAAAACATCGAAGGAAAATATGCTGGTAAATATCTAGAAAACAAATGATGGAATAACAGTTGATAGGGTGAATTTAGTAATATTCATTAATCTAATTCTATATATATAAAAAAATAGTTGGAGAGAGTTTTAATTAAAAAAAAAGTTGAGAAATTGAATTTTTTAAATAACTTAAAGTTCAAGAAATGTCTGAATTGTTGATTTCTGAAATAAATACAACAGAAGAGAGACCTTACCGTCAAAAAAATAGTAAATAGAAAGACAAGATGACTAAGAAACCGTTTTTTGTTTTTTACCTCATGATAATGAGCACTGCCACCTAATGAAATTTGACATTCAAGCTCAACTTCAATGCTCCAAGTCAACGTCAAAAAGATGTCTCTTCCCTTGAAATTGTCTCTCTTTCTCCCCCTCTCTTACACACACAAAAGGAAAATCTATGGTCATTACTTACTGTCTCTTTGCAGTTTGCACAGTATTACAGCAAGAAGGGAAAACAGATTACAGCAGCAGTTTGAGTAATGGGCATTTGCTGCAGCTGTTCAGCTTATAAGCTAGCAAGAGGTCAAGACTGCCAAGACCCAGCACCAAGCACCATCGAACATGTCAGTGCAGGTACCACCGCAATCATTAACAACTTCTCTTTACTTCAATTTTACTATTGATTGAATGTATTATATTGGGTTTATTTTGGTTTTGCTCTTACACTTCTGTAATTTTACTTCGTTGGATAGAATCCTCTGTTTTTGGCTTAATTTATAACATTTCTTCTGCTTATCTCATGTTTGTGACTGTGGTTGGGTCTTTTTTTTTTGGTGCCCCTTTACCCTTTTATCGCTGTTAATGTCCTTTGGTATTGCAAATTGTGTCCAACCTTGGTGCCTTTGGCAGTATTTTATAGGGTTGCTCATTGTGTTTTGGATTCTTCAATGTGTTGCTGAATGCAATCTCAGGAGATATTTACTGAATTTAATTGAATTAAAAGTGTTGCTAATGGAATGAAACACTAGTTACTTAAGTGCCAGACAAAGAAAAAGAACAAGTCTATCTATCATTTGAGTGCAAAAATGGTCATATCATAAGGGACTTGTTTACTTTTCATTGTTTCACTTCTGGAATTTTTAGTTGCAATTTCTGTTTGTGTCTTCATTTTCTGATTATACAAGTTTTAATTCGTATTTTGTAGGTAGCTATGACATTGACAACAGCTGGTTTTCTATGGTAAGCACCGGCATTACAACATGGATATCTCAACCAAGTAGCAGCTTCACAACTATTTGGGGTAAAAATATCCCTGAGAGCAGCCAATTCTCAGATGTAACTGGGAGTGGCGATGGGACTTTAGCAAACAGGGAAAGCGCTACCAACTCAAACGTGAGAGTTTTTACATTGGCACAGATGACGGCTGCAACATATAATTTTAAATCCAATATGGTGCTAGGAAAAGGAGGTTTTGGCATTGTCTATAGGGGTTGGCTTATGGAGAAGTTGCCTCCAAGAGGTATAAAGAAGACAGCCGTTGCTGTCAAGAAATTGGGTTCTTACAGCATGCAAGGATTTAAGGAGTGGAAGGTATATGGATTTTGAAATGTTGTATGTACTATCTGTCATACAGTCATACTGTTCTTTGTTGTGTGCTCTAGTAGGGTCCACTAAATTCTTTCTTATTTTTTTGTTAGCCTCAAAAGACCCCTTTTGGAAGAGGAATGTTACTTCAAAGCTCCTTTGGATACCATCCCATGTGAATGTGTAAAATGACTTGGGACTAATTCAGGCTATGTTTCTAAACATTTTATAGGACATCACATAAGCGAACAACTAAGTCCATGATATTTGTGATCTCATAGTTTAAACCATGAAGCCAAAAATCTATTGAGGTGGTTAAGAGAATTCTGAGTTATTGATATCTTATACCTTTAGATTTGTGAGTTTCTATTTCCCCCTCTCTCCTTTCCCTTCGCCTGTCTTTCTTTCAAAGACTCAAATGGACATACTTTTAGGGAGCTATTTCTTTGTTTCAGGCTATATAAGTTGTTTGCTTTATCATTTTTCTTTGTGTTGGTGCAGGCAGAGGTGTATTTCTTAGGAATGCATTCTCATCCAAACCTAGTAAAGCTATTGGGATATTGTTTGGAAGGTGGAGAATGCATCCTCGTTTATGAGTTCATGAAAAGGGGTAGCTTAAATTACCGTCTCTTTGCAAGTAAGAGACAATCACTGCTTGTAACATTTAGCATTATGTAGAACCTGCATTATTCTGCATCTAAATCTTCATTTCCTTTATTCCCTACGGTTTTCCATGTTTACAGAGCGCTCAGTTCGACCGCTTTCATGGGACTTAAGGCTGAAGATTGCGATAGATACTGCTCGACGTCTGGCTTACTTGCACACATTGGAGAAGCCAATAATTTACAGAGATTTCAAGTCCTCGAATATACTACTTGATGAGGTAAGTTTCTATGAAGCTTGTAGATTCTAACCCTTAAACATATAAATTATGAATGCTATTTCATGACTCCACCCATGACTGAACCAATTTCTTGCCATGGTGGTATGGGAATTTTTACTTAAGTCTTGTACCCATCTGAACATTCCTTTCCCTCCAGTCTTTAGTTCTTGCCAGTCCACTGAAACTATTTATGGGATAATGCAACAAAAAGTTTTATCTTTCCGATAGTGTTTGTTGAAGTATTCAAGAAGACTTATTTGCTTCCAACTTCTCTTTTTATTTTAGCACTATAACGCGAAGCTATCAGACTTTGGCTTGTCATTTTGGGGTCCCTTGATTGATTCACATGTCAGTACAAGTATTGCGGGCACGTTTGGTTATATGGATCCTCAATATATTGCTACAGGTGCTAATTATTCCTTTTGAACTCGATTGTCTCTGACATTGACATTGGATTTTTTAAGCTTATTCTGAAGAATTTTGACCTTGATTTCGTGCTCTAATTGATGGTATGCTGGTTGGTTAGGACATTTGCATGTAAAGAGTGATGTCTACGGGTTCGGAGTTGTTGTGGTTGAGATGCTAACTGGCTTACGTGCAATTGACATGAAACGTCCGAGTGGGAAGCAGATACTTGTTGACTGGGTTAAACCCTATTTGACAAATAGAAGAAAGTTGAAAAAAAAAATGGACTCCCGGTTGGAAGGAAAATATCCTCCCAAAGAGGCTTCCCAAATAGCTCACCTTGCTATTAAATGTCTTCAATTTGATCCCCGCTTCCGGCCATCAATGACAGAAATTGCTGAGACACTTGAACAGATTGATGCCATCCATATGAGAATGGGGGAGCCCAAAATTCATTCTGGTTATCATAGTAGTTAGTAGTGTTTTATTATCCTTCTTCATTAATTGTCAACACAGGTATACTTTCTTCATATAATTTATACAAGAATTCATGTAATTCGTTCTCATGGCATGTTTTGAGTTTATGTGACTAGCTGTAGCTGAACGAGGTGGAAGTGTTTGGTTAGTATTAAGGGCACATCTTACCATGTATGCTCATTTTTTTTCGTATTAATGCAGTTATTTCTTTCATTGCACTGGTGGACTCATATTGATAGAGTATTTTTTAGCAAAGAATCTGTAGTTATTGGAAGCCTGTTTATACTTTATTGGAATAGTGGAAGTAGTGGTTATTTGCTTTTAACTTTTTTAACCTTCTCTTGTAAGATGGTAGACAACAGACTTGGGTTGTACAAAAGTTGTTCTTCTTTTTAGTAATCCTCTGTGCGATGAATGAATAGCTGTAAATGCAAGTCGCAATATTTAGGCTAACATTATAATCTGATAAGAGCAATGACCTTACATACTCAGAGGGAAACTCATCTTTTCCCTCCAACTCCAGTTTTGTACTAAGCAACCAACAATATTCCCCGTTCATAAAAGCACAGTAAAGTTGGAACAAACCTTGAAGAAAAAACAGATCTTCCATTCTTTGTAGTCTTTGCTTGAAAATCATACAAGGGAGAATTGAAGTTGCAATGAACCTTCTCTGAAGAGCCTATGAAGACCAGACTAATCATATTACCTGAGCCACTGCCTTAACTAGTAGGATCTGCAGGACCGATATATTTCATTATTTTGTTCTACATAGACCAAGTCTCTGCAATAATTTTTTCTCTGAAGACACTAGGACATAGAGCTATTTGATGGGTATTTGCTGGAGCTCTGAACCTGACAAGTCAAAGTCAGACTCTGTACCAAGCATCATAGATATCGGTGCAGGTATACAAAATATATTCATTTTTGTTAAAAATCATTTCTTCATGTTCAGAACCAAATTCTGCAGTTTTTAGCTTGAAGTTATTTTTTTTCCCTCTGAAGCAGGTGATGCATCTTTTGTTGGTGACAACAGCTGGCTCAGTGTTGGAAGCACCTATGTTACGGCATAGGTATCTCAAGTAAGTGAGTTTTACAAGTATTTGGGCGAAGAGTAATGCCACTGAGAAAACGGAATGCTCAGATGCAAGCAATAATAAGGATTTTTCAAAAGGATATGTTAATATTGCTGGCACAAACTTGAAAGTTTTCTTGTATGCACAATTGGAAGCTGCAACTAATAATTTTAGAAGGGACATGATGGTGGGCAAGGGAGGTTTTGTCAACGTATATAAGGGTTGGCAAAAGGAGAAGGTACCATCAATGGGGATAAAGAAAGTCATTTCTGTCAAGAAATTGAGTGCCGGTAGCTGGCAGGGAGTTAAGCAGTGGCGGTTATGTGCTTTTGAATTGTAAGTCTTGCACTTCTCCATTATACGGTAATTTTGCAATCCTGAAAGCTTTAGTTCTTCAGTATATTTTCTTTGTTACTTGGTGATATGAGGTGGAATTATTGGT